GACATATTTAACATTTTCTAAAAATGAAGAACAGATTTTAAATTTCAATAAAATACCCCTAATTGGAATTTAAATAAACTGTAGAAGTGGTTAATAGTAGCAGAAACAACTTGAAAGAATAAGATCATTATCTGTGTTAATACCCTCTTTATATTTATTTATTCTAATGATGTCATAAATGTCTAATTTCCTTAGTAGTTCTTTAAATGTTAGTAACTAACGGAATAAGAGAATAAGAAAAGTTCTAAATGCTCTTCAATACTGTAAATAAAAATCGTATATTTCTTAAAGGTTTAAGCCTTCTTTCAAGATGTTTTTAATGTAATTAATATTTAAATTAGGGTGCTAATGTCTCTTTTAATGCTTTTAGCTGGAACCGATTTAGTTTTAAAATCAGTTCTTCGCGCTTCTCTGCGAGAATCGTAAAACCAAAACCCATTTAATGGTGTTAAATTTTCAAGAAACCTTTAAAATGAATCCACACTTCTACATTATTCTGTGTAAAATATAAAAGGATTTCTAAATAATGTTTATAACTGAAGAACGACTGGGCCGATTTTAATGATTTTTGATTTGTTGGATGCAGAAAATTATTTTTTTTATTAAATTTAATATTATTTTATTTTGTTTAATAATTTTATTAATGCAATTTATTAAATTGCTAATTTGCTAATTTTCTTTCCTGCTTTTCTATGCTCTAAATAATTTTGATGTCGAGTAATTAGAATTATAATGTAGTTGTTATGGAATATTGTCAGAGACAGACTGCAATTCAAATAAATGTTCATCCATTCAACACAGTCTGTCATTCAAACTTTATGATTACAACAATGAATGCATCACGGGTCCGAACACGTGGATAACAAGAATTTATACTAGATGGTTCTGTTTGGGCTTCTATACAGGGTGAGTCTTAGATAAGTCCAAATATTTTCAGGGTTGGTAGATCTCCATCAAAAAACCATATTATACAGGGTTGTTCACCACATACGACACGGAGTATTGTAGCTAAACGATGAGATTTTTACAAATTGTAAGTTTTGGGTTCGATGAAGGACTATTAGAGGTACAATTTAAAAATAATTTTACAAGATACAGAGTGTCCCAAATAAGTAAAAAATATCAAAGTTGTATTTTTTTAAATGGAACACCCTGTATATTATTACATTTTAGTTTCTACGATTAAAATAAAGGTAAATTTGATTAAGATTTATTATACTTAAACCTTACCGTTTTTGAAATATTTTCAATTTTGTGAAATTGCAGTAAAAATTTTAAGGCTTCATTTCTCCAAGGGTATCAAAGTTTTTAATACTAAATATTTACCGAAGTTTATTTACTGATCAGTTATTGTGTTGCAATAATAAAAATAATACTACCTTATACAGAGTGTCTAAAAATATATTTTAAATAATTATTAGCTTCAGACGGCAATAACTTGTTTAATTTAAATGGAACATCCTGTATATTTTACGAGAATCAGATGCACAATTTAATTGTCTATCAAATTATATTATACCATTTTTTACCTATCTCTTTAAGTTTCCGTAGAAAATGCATTTTCTTGTAATTTAGAACTTATTTATCAATATACCCATGGACTATTGACATTTTAGATTATTTTTAAAGATGTACCAAATTTTTAAAGAGTACAGATACTAATATTGTCGATATAATTTGTTTATTTTGTACATTTTGTACATTTGTTGCTTTAAAAACAATCTAAAATGTCAGTATTCCATGGATATATTGATAAATGAGGTCTAAATTATAAGAAAATGCATTTTCTACGAAAACTTGAAGGGATAGGTAAAAATGGTATAATACAATTTGATAGACAATTTAATTGTGCATCTAATTCTTCTAAAATATACAGGGCATTCCATTTAAATTAAAGAAGTTATTGCCGTTTGAAGCTAATAATTATTTAAAATAAATTTTTAGACACTCTGTATAAGGTAGTATTATTTTTATTATTGCAACACAATAACTGATCAATAAATAAACTTCATTAAATATTTAGTATTAAAAACATTGATACCCTTGGAGAAATGAAGCTTTAAAATTTTTACTGCAATTTCACAAAATTGAAAATATTTCAAAAACGGTAAGGTTTAAGTATAATAAATCTTAATCAAATTTACCTTTATTTTAATTGTAGAAACTAAAAATGTAATAATATACAGGGTGTTCCATTTAAAAAAATACAACTTTGATATTTTTTATTTATTTGGGACACTCTGTATGTTGTAAAAATATTTTTAAATTGTAGCTCTAATAGTCCTTCAACGAACCCCAAACTTACAATTTGTAAAAATCTCATCGTTTAGCTACAATACTCCGTGTCGTATGTGGTGAGCAACCCTGTATATATTTTGCCGTTTTTTCAAACAACTTCAAAATGACCGAGTTATTAAAGTTTAAAATTAAAAAAAATATATTTATTTGTAAAAAAATATTGAGAGCCACCGGACTTTTTGTGCATTTGCATCCCTTTCAGTGCCGTAACCATAGAATAAAACCGTGATCATGGTAGTATAGGAGATTAAGAAATTATACCGTGGGAAAATTTGCGGTGAACAGGTAGTTTTAAAAAGTTATCTGAAATATTCAGAAAAATTTAAAAAAAAATGCACGATTTTCTACATCTTTTTTTGCGAATAAAACCCATAGACTGTTTCTGAATGGCTCAAAACGAAATAAGTAAATTACCAACAGATATTCAGGCTGAGGCGACAAACGCCATATCCTAACTACTTCCATTTAAATCCCGAATAACTTATGAAAAGGAATACAAAAATTTTCAAAAATAGAAGCAATTAAAAAACGTGCGAGAAGAAATAAAGTTTTTAACCTATCCTCGCTGTTAAAGTATCATTTAATCTACTCTTGGCGTTAAAGTACTATTTTATCTACTATTTTTGATAGATATAAGGCGATTTTAATAGTTGCTATAAAAAAATATAATCTAAACTTGTGTTAATAATCTTCTGCATTCCTGTGATATGTTTTAATTTTCCCAAACAAGAAAATTTCCCAAATGAAATTAAGTATATAAAGGGATTTTCGGTTGGGGCGTCATAATGATAAAAGACCAAATTTTATTCTATCCCAAGATGCAATTTTAATACTTCATTTGAGGCAACAAAATGCAATTAAAAGAGTGGAGTGAAAATTAATGACTGACTGTAGCATCTCCACATTTTTCATTAAAACTTAATTAATATTAGGGGTGAGAATGCTGGAACTCGCTGCAGCTTTAGGAACAATTTTTGCTACAGACTTTCATCACAGCTCGGCGCAGATAATGTTTAACTTTAATTTTGTATTCTTGAAGAAGACTCTTTTTTTAATCTTTCTTAGGAGAGTTTGTTTTAAATTTTGTAGGTTCAAGTGGTGTATAAATGAGACAGGATATATTTTTAGTATAATAAATTAGACATTCACTAAAACTACTAAGATAAAAACTTAATAATATACTGGGCGAGTCTTAAAAAGTATATTTTGACTCACAACACGATCCTGTACGAAGATTCCACACCTGTAATTTTTAACCAATCAAAACGTGTTTTTTTGTCAAATCACCATGGGAACGGATAAATTTTAGTGAAATTTTTTTCCTTGTGGGCGAATTATACTGGAAATTTTTTGACGTTTATAATGACAGAATATATTTTTGAGAGTCTGGTACAGGGGCCGGAAAGCGAAATAGCAAAAGCGGTTCCACCGTTTCCACGGCAATTTCGCGTAAAATAGTTCCAGCCTCGGGCGCTAGGTGGTAGTGCAATTAATTTTTAGGTTAAGAAATTGCTACTAGTTATTGCCAGATGGCGTTCAATCAGATTTTTTTTGTAGTTTCCATAGTTTCCAACGGCCATTGTAATACTATTGTCAAATTCTCAAAAAATATTGTCGTTGTCATAGCGCCACTCATCAAAAATGATTATCAAAACGTTTTTCAAACTATAATTTGTTATATGTGTTTTTATTAGACAATTCCTTTTGTTTGTGGCCCTAAAAATATAAAGTAAGTCTTTTATTTTTGCCATCATTTAAGTACCTATTTATATTTACTCCATTTACAAAACTTTGGGCGTATTACGTCGGTTTTGTTTTATTATAATAAACGATGTTTAAATATTTGACTTATAAATAAAAACTTTTAAATAATAAATAATATTTACACATAAATTATACTGTTAAATCTTATTTTTTACACATCACAACGATACTTGTTATTAGTATTGTTGAATTTGTGTAAAAAATAATATTTAATAATCAAATTTAATTATTTTAGAGAAAAATTCAATAAATACGCTCATTTAAAAAGCCCGCGCTTCGATCCGTTTAAAACAAGCCCTACTCAATAGATGGCGCCACTTCTGTAGGACCATTTTTCAGTATGGCAGAGTCCATTCTTTTTCTAGCTAGGTATATTCTTTGGTCTGGTTTTTATTTGTTTACATGATAATTTTGACACATTTCAATTACAAAGCTGAGATAAAAGTTTGTAAACTGCTTCCATACGCTTGACTTCGATTTCCTAGTATTCGCGGGTGTCAACTGCTTAATCTCCTGGCGAATATTTTCTTTGCTTTCATAACAGAAACGAAACATTTTTTTTAAGCCGTGCCGCTTGACAGCTTCAAAACTGAAATTTAGGTTTGGGTGTCACTTAGTTGTCATAGTAACTAAATAATCAATTCGGCCAAAAATCGAAAAATGCATTTTAATTATTTGATTTTCAAACACAGTTTGGTGTGGAATTTTCTTACCGAATACCACACGAGGTCAAATTAAATCCGGACATTTTTTCTCGCTCATGAATATTTTTAGAAAATTATTTTATTCAAAATATTTCGCACCATTTGACCATAGTTTCTTTCTTCCATAATTTTCAACTTACTTATTTTTGATTTCAATTATTATTGTTGTCAAACATACTCCGCCAAAACCTACCTTTACCTCTGTAACTAATTATAAAACTTTATTAATTACAGCCGAAGTTCGAATATGAGGCTCGCCAACTCCCATAACCAGTTATCCTTTGCCAACGGCGGCAATGGCAACATCAGTGCGGTGGCGAGTAGAAGAGATCAAGGGACGCAAACGCCCGAAAATATAGCGAGGGAAGCCAGAAATTGCCGACTCAAGTCGCTCAAGCTGCAACTCAATCACACCACGTCTAACTTGACTAATTTCAGGTAAAATCTTACATATGTTCTCTACACATAAAATTTTTCCTTTCAGTTTTGCCTGTTTAAGGTTGATTATCACTATATCTTCCGTATCAGCACCCTTCCGAAATTGGCTGCAAATTTTTGCAGCCAATTTCGACAATAGTTGAATAGCTAACCAAGATCCAGCCGTTGGCCATCGAGGCCACCGGACTTAGTGCCTGTTATCCTTAGTTGATGTTTATCTTTGCGGAAGAATAAAGGTTCTTATTTTTACCTTTAGATATACATAGTTTAAATGTGTTGATTTTGTTAAGTATAGTTTAAATTGTTATAAAATTCTGCATCTCTCAATGCAAATATTATTTTCGTTTTAATTGCTGCTCACAGGCTAGAATGTTTTTGCATTATAGCCGTTCGAAGCTTACTTATTCAAAGTGGGCAAATTTTTTAAAACTCTATATCTCGAAGAGGAATCGAGCAAAATATCGAGTATGTTACATTTTTGGAAAGGTAATTTTAAATTATTTTGAATGAATTAAAAATATACAAAGTGTCCCATATAAAAAATTAAATTTTCTGTTGATAATTCTTAAATTAATATTTAAAAAAAATATAGTTAAACCATTAAATTCTACGTAAAAAGCTTCTTTGAAAATGTTTTCACAAAAATACAAAATTTTCCATAGCAAAAAAGTTACAACGATTTGATAAAAATGTAAATATAACTATTTTTGGGTCATTTTATTTAACAAATCTCACTGATCAACTCGTTTACCTACAACAATTAAGATCAATATCCTCTCATCAATTTTATAAAACTCTTTTCACCTTCATTTTCAAGCCCTAGCAAGACAATTAATTTTAAGTATCACAATCCGGCAAGGCTCTTAATTAAAACTACACGTAGTGCAGGTCCTCCAATCGCGAAATAACTACCAAATCAATTACCATCTAATGGCAATCCATTTTCGCTGCTGCTGCGACGAGATGGGACTTTGAAGTGTGCTTCGCCATTTCCAAATTTCCACCACCGGTGGAAATTGCACTTGCGGTTCCAGCTGCGAAGCATCATGTTGTTAATGCTGTCGGGATATGCTGTTACGTGTCGTCGGAACTCTCTTGTTATTTTTACGTGTTTTTTTTTTGGTGTTTCGGGAAAACAATATCTGGTTGTTAGAGCGTGGAACGAAATAGAGCAGTAATAGTTATTTATGTATTATGAGTGTGTTAATTATCGTAAGTAAAATTTCTGCATATTAAATCTCGAGATTATAAACACTATAATTCCCATGGTATATAAATAATTTTATTTCTTACTGAATTTAGTATGTCTTGTCCCATTTTAAAAAGACACAAATGTTGCATTTATTAATCTTCAGGTATTTATATTAACGCTCCTAGTAGGAACTTTGTTTGTTGCCAGGTTACTATTGTATTCAATGACTTGTTTATAAATTGACGGTTGTTGTCAATTGAGTTCAGTTCAAAGAATATACCTAGCTAGAAAAAGAATGGACTCTACCATACTAAAAAATGGTCCTACAAAAGTGGCGCCATCTATTGAGTAGGGTTTGTTTTAAATGGATCAAAGCGCGGGCTTTTAATTAAATTTGATTATTAAATCTTATTTTTTACACAAATTCAACAATACTAATAACAAGCATCGTTGTGATGTGTAAAAAATAAGATTTAACAGTATAATTTATACAATTATTAAACAAAATTAAAGCCAAACATGTGTAAATATTATTTATTATTTAAAGTTTTTATTTATAAGTCAAATATTTAAACATCATTTATTATAAGAAAACAAGATCAACGTAATACGCCCAAAGTTTTGTAAATGGAGTAAATATAAATAGGTACTTAAATGATAAAAATACTTACATTATATTTTTAGGGCCACAAACAAAAGGAATTGTCTAATTAAAACACATATAACAAATTATAGTTTGAAAAACGTTTTGATAATCATTTGATAATATTATGATTGGCGCTATGACAACGACAATATTTTTTGAGAATTTGACTATAGTATGACAATGGCCGTTGGTAACTATGGAAACTACAAAAAAATTCTGATTTAACGCCATCTGGCAATAACTAGTAGCAACTTCTTAACCTAAAAATTAATTGCACTACCACCTAGCGCCTGAGGCTGGAACTATTTTATTTGAAATTTCCGTGGAAACGGTGGAACCGCTTTTGCTATTTCACTTTCCCGCCCCTGGTTCAGTTTTTTGTCAAAAAAAACGCCTTTCGCACAAATTCGGCACACGTTCGAGTACTTTCCCATTAAAATTGAGGAAATATTAAAAAAAAACTATAGAAGCACGACAAGCGTTACTTCCACTTGAAAGTGAATCCATTTGCCAAAAGGAATATAAAAAATACCTTCAGTGGTTGAGACAGAAAAATATTATAGCAAGTGATAACGATGAAACTGTTCTCTTGTAAATTTATTATAATGTGATATTAATGATGTAAATAAATTATTAAAGTAGTTAGATGAGTGTCCATTTTCATTTTATATTACTACTCAAAATCTCTCTGTATTGTTTTTCGTCGTTGTTATCTATAAAAGCAAACTTATCAACGACATTGCAAATCTAGACATTAGCAGTAAAATCTGCCCCTTTGCGGACGATACTAGTTTCACTTGGAGCGGCCCAGATGTTACGGCACTATATCTGCACCATTAAATCTTGGTGCCATTCTAATCTCCTATGCCTCAACCTATCAAAAACTAAAGTTTTGTCATATAAAATTACTATACAACCTTTTGTACTTAATAACACCACTATTGACTTCGTGGACTCTGTGAAATTCTTAGGACTTGTTGTAGACAATTCGTTAAAATGAGACTTTCACATCGAAGTTTTATCAAAGAAACTAAGCGCTGCCTGTTTTGCGCTAAGATCAGTTTCTAAGGAACTTAACTTGTTAACTTCTAGAATAGCCTATTATGCCTTATTTGAGTCACATATTCGTTATGGCCTTCCATTTTGGGGTACTTGCTGCACAACAAAATTTGATCGTATTTTCAAACTTCAAAAGAGAAGCAATTGCAAATAGGACTGAACAGTAGAACTTGCTACCAGAATTTCCTTTATAAATTTCAAAATACTGACTCTTCCTTCTTTATTCATTTTTGAATCCGTTTGCTTAATCCGCAAGCACATATCTGCTATTCCCGAAAGGCCACCTCACAAGTATCCACTTAGGAATGCGGAGCACGATCTTTATCTGCCAACCCCGAGCTCAGAACTAGTTAAAAGCTCAATACTGTACAATACCAAAAAATGTACAATCATCTGCCTTTGAATATCAAGTCGCTTTCATTCTTTCCCGCATTTCGCAAAGTTCTGAAATTATACTTACTGGAGAGAGCCCTATATGCGGTAAACGACTTTTTTGTTGATGTTTAATCATGAACAATTTTGAATTTTAAAATTTTGATCATCTCACACACTGATTAAAGGTCTAACTCTTACATGATTAATATCCATTTACAATTTTCCTACTGTAAAATTTTATTGTACGCCAATGTGTTTTGCAATGTCCATATATGTTTTATTTGTAATGTTAACGACGTAATTTTTTTTAATTGATTGGTATTGTATGATATTTTTTATTATTTGTATATTTTTTTGTGCTTTTGTTTGTTTTGTAAATGCTTTGTCGATGAAACTATTTTGGCTTTTTGTACAATAACGCGTTATTTAAAAAGTATAGGAAATTATGGCATATTAATTCCCGTTAATAATGTCCCAAGGAAGTTATGACTCTATTTATGGTTAACGTCAAAACCAAGACAATATAATTATAAGCTTATATTAATTCAGTAAGAAATAAAACCTTCTATTCAATGATCGTGATAGTATTGACTATTCTATACTTCTTGCATTTCTACCAACTTTATACACCTACTTATTTTCGAACAATGGCAACAAGGTACAGTATTTCTATCAACTTAAAACAGTAAAACAGTGCACAGTAGTATATATCTCGCAAATAGTAGCACGCAAGACAGGCGAACATGCAGAAACGTGAGAGAAATATTAGTTACCCACTTTCTACGCTAAATAAGACTTTTGCCGAGTCCCATCGCGAATAGTTGGTTTATTTAAATATGCGGAATGAACGTCTTGGCGCGTACGAAACCACGAAAAGAAGAATAATGCGCCGCATTGTTGCTAAATTCACCACAAAAGGAAAAAGCGTGGATCTTAATCTTGTTCGACGTGTTTCTTGTTTTATTATTTGGAGTTCTTGCTTTAAGAGTCCATTTCAGTAGTCCGGAAAAGTAGCAAAATAAGTATTTAACGTTTTATGTAAAACTGGCTAATGCTGAAGTTCTACAAACCTTAATCAAGTACGTTGCGCGGGGTAACGAGTTAGGAATACTGGAAGTTACCGAGTACCTGGATGAGGTTGGACTGGTCTCCTTGTAGTCCCGACCTCAATCCAATCAAACATTTATGCGATCAAGCCATCATAGTTTTTTTATTCAATGTTTTGGACTGGAACATAAAAATCAATTGCCTGTATATAAGTCCTTCTTTACATATTTCAGAAAAATTTAAAAATGATTCGTATTTTTCTCGACAGCTTCATGGCCAGTTATACTCATACACAAGAGAACCTTTTTCTAAGTTGGAATACTTATGAAGGTAAATATTTGATAGCAAAAAAGTTCTGACTTTGTTGAGAAAAAGATTGGAAAAGATCGTCTGGAAACCTGCGAAACGTCTCGAAAAAAAAGATACTTAATAAAAAAGGCGATATAAAATAGAATAAAAAGAACAAAAGATTTTCGGGGCACCTTTTTATGTCAGACGATATTAATTTTATTTGCCCGAAAACGAAAAAGTTTATTTCATTATTTTGTTAATTAGTTAATTACATTGAAAATCTGTCTTAATCAAGAAAGCAGTTTTTTGTGAGTTTTTATTGTAAGTTTAAAAAGTACCAAAAAGTTCTTTCTTGTATATCTTTAATATAAACGAGATAAGATATATTGAGAGAAACATCTTAGGTCAACCATTTTTCTATCAAATGTGGTTGTCACTTCCAATAATCATCTTGGCAGAGTCATTTTAAAATAAAAAAATCATGCAAGAAAAGGGTTTTCTAAGAGGGCTGGCACAGAAACTACCATTATAAACATAATTAAAATAATATTCTTCCCTTAAATTATAAAAACACTTATCACCCACGCTCTGAGACTTTCTCCTGAACTGTTCTTCGTCTTTACTCGTTCTGCAAAATTACATTTTTTTCTGAAACCAAACTAAAAGTTCTTATTAAAAATACTATAATATATCAATATTTTTTTTTTGAAAAATTACTTATATTTTTTTCAGTGAAGAGATAAAAAGATGCGGTTTTCACATCACTATACTACTTTTTTTTGAGTGCATAATAATGTATTTAACTATTTTTTTAGGTTGCTGGCTGGTAAGGTTAAACGAAAAACCTTCGCCTCGAATTCAGTAGCCACAGAACAGAAAGCCTCCAAAGTGCTCGGATTGGTGTTCTTCACCTTTGTACTGTGCTGGTCGCCATTTTTCGTGCTCAACATCATTTTTGCAGCCTGTCCGGATTGTGATGTACCCCAGCACGTGGTCGTCACGTGTTTATGGCTGGGATACGTCAGTTCAACCATCAATCCAATCATTTATACGATTTTCAACAAGACTTTTAGGACAGCGTTTATCAGATTGCTGCTTTGTCGATGTCAGAGGTATGTGTCCCTATTTTTTTTTTTATTTAAATATGTTTTTGAATAGAGAATTGAAACAAAAGCTGTTGTAGTCTGCATAGATGATAGATGTTACAAGATGACATTTGCAAAATAAAACACTAGATATCGCACCACTATACAGGGTGGTCCGAACTGTTTGTTCGGACTGAAAGTTTCGGAGGATCGTAAAAGTTTCATTTTTATTTAAATTTTTCCAGATAATTTATGAAGTAACGTAAATATTTGGATAAAAATTAGTATCTGGGAGTTTTTTGACATGAGAAATTCGATTTTGATGTCAATATTCTCTATACTCTACTTGTAGAAGGCGCCATCTACATATTTTCTTTTTTGTAATTTCTTCAATGTAATTTCTTTTATTTTCCAATAAAAATTTATTTCATAATAACAATTAAATTTATAGAAAGTAACTGATATTTTATTTCTTTTTAACAGCTAGAAGTACAAAATATATCAAAGAAACCCTATTGAAAATATAAATACATATAATAAAACCAAACCAAAGGATAAACAAGTGAGTATGCTCATAAACAAGCTGAGTATCTCATGCTCTTAGGAACTGTAGAAAATGACTGCCTACTAAATTTTCTTATAAAATTTTTGACAACACAGGTAGAAATGGAAAGTTCTTGCTCTTCAAAATAGTTAAAACTCATGTAGGTGGCGCTTTCTGACAAATAAGAGTCATATTGACACCAAAATCGAATTTCTCATGTCAAAAAAACCCCAGACACCAATTTTCATTCAAATATTTTTTTTATTTTTATTTCTAAGGCGTTCGATTGTGTAAATCATAAGATCCTAATTAATAAACTGCAGCACTATGGGTTCAGGGGATCATCTCTCGAATGGTTTAAGTCGTATCTGAGCAACAGAAGTCAACTTGTGAGGGTGGATACCACGTTGTCTTCTAGCAAGCCAATAGAATGTGGAGTACCACAAGGCTCAGTACTAGGCCCTATTTTGTTTCTTCTTTTTATTAACGACATTGCTAACATAAACATCAGTGGCAAAATATGTCTTTTTGCGGACGACACTAGCTTCACTTGGAGCAACAAGGACATCGCGGCACTTCATAGGATTATATCAAATGACTTAATCACCATTAAATCTTGGTGCGATTCGAACCTCCTGAGTCTCAACATTTCTAAAACTAAGGCTTTGTCGTATAAAAACTCGTTGCAGCCTTTTGTACTTGACAACACCACCATTGACGTCGTAAAATCCGTAAAATTCTTAGGGCTTGTTGTGGACAATTCTCTGAAATGGGACATACATATCGAAGCTTTGTCGAAAAAATTGAGCTCTGCCTGTTTTGCATTAAGGTCTGTTTCTAAGGAGCTTAACTTGTCAGTGGCTAGAACTGTTTATTATGCACTTTTTGAGTCGCACCTCAGGTATGCCCTTCCATTCTGGGGTACGTGTTGTGCGGCTCAATTTGACCGCATTTTCAAGCTCCAGAAGAGAGCTGTTCGATATTCACTGGGACTAAACAGCAGAACTCATTGCCGGGGCTTTTTTAGAGAATTAAAAATATTGACTCTTCCTTCCTTATTTATATTTGAATCCGTTTGCCTAATACGTAAACATGTATCAGCTTCTCAAGAAAGGCCATCTCACACTTATCCACTCAGGAACGCGGAGCAAGATCTTTATCTACCTACCCCACGCTCAGAGTTAGTTAAAAGTTCAATATTATACAACTCGAAAAAAATGCACAATCACCTGCCATTTGAAATCAAATCCATAACATCATTTTTTTCATTTCGCAAAGCATTGAACTCTTATTTACTAGACAAGGCTTTCTACGCCGTAAATGAATTATATTTGAATTGAAAATCGAATTTGATCTTGAAAACACTGGTCTAATGTTTGCTATTGCTATATTTACTAATTAAAAAATTAATTTATTTAGAGGTCATTGATATTTTGCTATAAACTGGCTAAATATTTTTGAATATTATTTTAATTTTTTTTGTTCTTTGACATTGTAAACATTTATAAATGTTTATTTTAACAATAAGACTGACAATATTATTTGTATAATGTTTTGTATTATCTTTTGTTTGTTTGTTTGTGTACCTTGTTTTTTTTTACTTTGTTTGTTAGTTTACCTTTGTCTACAAATTGAAAAATTTTTTGACAATAAAGGCATTTATTTATTTATTTATTTATTGACGTTACTTCAAAAATTATTTGGAAAAAATCGAAATAAAAATGAAACTTCTACACCCTGTATCTCCGAAACTAAGCATTTTAGGACATACATTTATACGAACTTTTTAACTTATTTTTATCTGCCAAATATGCTGCCAAAGTTTCCGGAATACAATTCGTACCGCCCTGTACATTTCTGTAATATTTCTCCAAAAAAATAACCTTTTTTTTTGTTCATAATAACACCAGTAGTACGTATTTTACTCCATACACAATCCTGACTACACAAACTTCAGTAAGGACAAAAAGTCTTAAGTAACTTTACACTCGTCCGAAGATGAAAGCATTATCTGGTAATCTGTCTTAATTTGCTCGAAAGATGCCTCGGCATGCTCCCTCTAGAATAACTATTAAAAGGTTTTTGTATGTAAAGTTCGCGACCACTTTCGCACAACTTTTAATGTGAATAACGTGTTGATATTTTTATTTCGCGCCAAAGGTCGACCAAAGTACGACTCGAAAGAGTTTTAATTTTTTATTTTACTACCCCCTTGGTAATTTGAGTGAGAATTTTTTAACTAGCACAGTACGTATGAAGTTGCTTTTAAAATTCGCAAAACCATAGCGTTAAGTTTAATTTAGCAATTTTTATATCGAGCTATTATCTTCAGCAATGCAAGTATAGAAATTTTCACATTTTCCCGTCCTCGGTGGGCAACTTCACGCTTGGCAACACCGTCAATAGTTTAAAAATTTAGATTTAAAATTAATTTTGCTTATAGTTTTACTGCTTCATAAATTGAAGAAGTCGACAAGAGAACTTAATACAGGGTGTTTCAAAAAACGTGTGCCATCTCTCGTGGGGAGATTCTTTACGTAAAAAAAGATTTATTTTTCATATCAACATAGGTCCGATTTTGCTTTGTTTTGTTTTGGCAAATTCAATCAAGGCAAATTAATAAAATTGCGTTTATCTCATCAAGGAGGTCTAAATCGACAAAATATCAAGAGACAACTTTAAATCGACATTAAACTGCTTACACTGTTTCACTAATAAGAGAAAAACAAAGTCATTGGCGTACATGCTTTTTTTAGAAAAATATTCCAGTGATAACCCATATGCAGGTCCCTGGTTAATATGTCGACACTTTTTTGGGTTTAAAATATGTCGCATTTTGAGTAACTGTTACACTCAAAATTTCATTCAAAACGCTAAAAGTACTTGGAGGAAAATTATAATAAATCGAAAGACTTTAACACCCTGTAGCTAGGAAACAAAGCAGAATCGGACCTATGTTGATATGAAAAATAAATCTTATTTTTACGTGAGGAATCTCCCCACGAGATGTGGCACATGTTTTTTTGAAACACCCTGTATAAATACTAATCTGTATTACCTGTCTTAAATAATTGAGATAAACCTGCATAGTCTCTGCCGACAATTTTCATTAAACGTAAATGAGAAAATCACTGTCACCACTCATAACAGATTAGTAATTAAAATTAAGGAAAATGAACAAACTTTCTCCTTCAAATTTAGATATTTTAAATAAGCAATATGGTCGGACAGGGATCAATATAACTTTCCTAATTATATACAGTGTCAACCCTAAAATCTGCATTGATGTGAAATTTTTGCAAGAGTATAATTTTGTTAGGGAAATTTTGAATAAAAAGCATTGAAGAAAATAATATAACCTGCAATTCAATGAAAATTAAAAAGCATTTATGAATTTTATATAAACATTTCTTTAATTCTGTTTTTAGTATTTGTTCTTATAAGACATAGATACATTATCTGTAAAAATTTCAACTGTCTAGCTATAACGGTTCATAAGATAGACCTGTGACAGACGGACGGATAGACGGACAGCGAAATCTTAGTAATAGGGTTCCCGTTTTTACCCTTTGGTACGGAACCCTAAAAATGAATCAAAAAGAAAACATATGTCGTAAAATTTAATATCACTTAACTTTTTTTAATCGAATTCTAAAAAATATTAAACTAATCTGTCAAATTTCACTTAGTTATTAAAACACTCACGGTTTTTTTTTCTTCGGCTTATATGATAGAGCGGTATGTGAAATGGTCGTATTATGCTAATCCGGCAAAATTATAAGACCCTTCCCTCAACTAAATGGGAATATTAGGGATTTTCTCATTTAGCGTTATGGCCAAGTTTGCATGTTGCCCTTTTTTCCCAACTTTCAGGAATTATATTTTCGGGTAAATATACTTTTTATACTCCATCTTGTCTAGTATCTATTTAAATATTGAATAAAAAATTAGATTTTTGTCAATAACAGATCAGTTTTTTAATTAATTTAAGATATAATATTCTTTTTTCCATAGAAACTGTTAAAATGGCCTTATATCTATCAAAAAGAGTAGATAAAATAGGACTTTAACCGCAAGGTATTTGTATTCCTTTTCATAAGTTATTCGGGATTTAAACGGAAGTAGTTTGGATATGGCGTTTGTCGCCTCAGCCTGAATATCTATTGGTAATTTACTTATTTCGTTTCGAGCCGTTTCTGGTTCCAATTCAATCAGCAATCGACACGAAAGAGAATTAAAAAATATTGACTCAAAACTGACAACTAAAGAGACAGCTTTATGTATTTGTCAAATTACATAGAAACCAACGCCAACCCAGCACAATATTTTTTCTACAAGTAATAAATTCCTATGGAATAAAATATTGTTTTATACACGACGATAAAATTGCATTATCGTCTCTCGAAAAATCTTTTTGGTCAACATTAATCTTTATATCAACATTTTGTTTTCCCTCGTATAATTGACAGATGGAAACTTTCCATCTTTGACACCGTTTTTTTTTCGATCATAGGTATAATATGATTTAATATATTTTAACTAATTTATAATATTCTAGGATGTCCAGGCCAGTGCGGTACCGGTCCGTGACAGAAAACAGAGGCGCCACGAGTCTCTGTACCCCATCGGCGCTGCCACTGGCCATCAGCCTAACAGGAACACCCCTCATAACCCCCGGCACTGACTCTTCGTTCGTCATCAGGACGCCATCTTTGAATTTCATGAGAGAAAGGAAGGACTCGTTTGAAGATCACGATTTTTAATGTTTTTTTTTGTTTGTTTATGTTTTAATTTTTTCATTATATCGTACAAAAATGTCTTTTTTTCCATAGCAACTATTTTATATTAAGCAAAAATAGTAGATAAAATAGTACTTTAACCGCAACGGTAGATTAAATGATACTGGTTAAAAACTTTATTTATTCTCGCACGTTTTTTAATTGCTTCTATTTTTGAAAATGTTTGTATTCCTTTTCATAAGTTATTCGGGATTTAAATGAAAGTAGTTTGGATATGGCGTTTGTCGATTCAGCCTGAATATCTGTTGGTAATTTACTTATTTCGTTTTGAGCCATTTCTGGCTCCAATTCAATCAGCAATCCACACGAAAGAGAATTAAAACATACTGACTCAAAACTGACAACTAAAGAGACAGCTTTATTTATTTGTCAAATTACATAGAAACCAACGCGAACCCAGCACAATATTTTTTCTACTCGTAATAACTTCCTTGAAATAATAATTTCTGAATCTTTTTTAAAACGTACCTCGCTATGGAAAAAACTATTGTTTTATACACGACGATAAAATTGCATTATCTCTTGTACAAAAGTAACTATAAATTCAATAAATGTTTTATAATTTCAATATAAAGTTTGTAAATATTTATAAAAATCATACGTATAAACTAGAAATTGTATAAATTTTTTTGAACAATTTTAATTGGATACTACTGGGACAATCTGTATAAATATCAATTATTATTCGATGTTAACTAGCAGTATAATAAAAATAAAATATTAAGATAAATATTCATGTTCTTGTAGAAGAAATAAATAAACATCAAGTTAGGTGTCAAGAACTTTGTAATTTTTTCTTTGAATTTAATTATTTTTGTATGTCTTTGTGAAATAAAATAAAATAAAAATGAGTTAAGAGACTTTTGATGTTCAAATTTATGTTCTTTAGCATTAAGATATATCTAGGAAATAAATAACTGTTTTATTTTACGTTTGTGACTAGTATTGATTGATATTGTTGTAAACTTTGTTACCTAAGCCCTAATAGTTAAATCAAAATAAATGTTAAATTCATAGAAAATATGTCTTAAATAATATTGAAATTTCTATCCTATAAGATATTAGTATTTTTGTATATTTTGATAAATTAATTGTCATATTTATATTTATAGAATTCTTTGTACAATCTTGCAAAATATATGTAATTGTAAAGATAAATAATATAAAGTATTTGTGAAGTACCTGTAAATAAAAATTAAAAATTGTGATTGTTTTTATGTTTATCCTAAATTCATTATCCTAAAATTCATTCTAACAAAAATAATTATAACTGATAACATGTTTGGAAAATTGTCACTTATACAGGGTGAGTCTTAGATAAGTGCACATTTTTTCACAGGGCTTGTTTTATCGTTTTTCAAATAAGTCCAAAATTTTAGTAAAAACATTATATTCTCTTTAAACTAATACAACCACTGGATTTTTTCTATGTTTTCATTCGTCTAAATTTAATTTTCTACCTATGTTGCCATATTATCAAAATATAATGTGTTTTAGCTTAAAATTACAAAAATTTCCAAACAAAAAGAAAACAAAATTTTCGGTTTTCCTTTTCACAAAAAATATGTACACTTGTTGGTTTGGAGTTGGTAATTATTGCTGAATAATATTGTTCATATTTTAAAATTTTTATATTAAAAAAGAAAAAAGTTATGTTATCGAATTCTTGTAAAGAAAAACTTGTAATACTTCCAATAAAGAAGTTAGTTGAGCAGTAAAGTTAACAGTTATAGTTTTTCGAAAATTTAATAAAACACCAACAATTTAAAAACTAGTTAAAAGTAGTTGTAAACTTGGAAGTTAAAATAACTGAAAACAAAAGTTTTCTATAAAACGTAGGGGTTCGAGAGTTTTAATTTTTTTTGTAAAAATATATTAACAAAACTAATTATCTACAAAAGATTTAAACATGTTATTGAAAAAGATTATATTTTTTTTTACTTTGAAAATGAATATAAATTTCCAAAAAGAATAATAATAATAAACTAAATTTTAAAATACTCGAAATAATATTTAAAAATTATGTTTTAAATCTATTTTGAGAATAATATTTGAAATATATTGACTAAAAAAAATAAAAAAATCTATTATTATTGGCATGTTATGCCCCCAAGTGTTAATATTTTAAAATTAAAAAAATTTCTGTAAAATTCCTAAAATCGCATCCATATTTTTACTAATCAATACTTACTTTCTAAATATCACACGAGATGGCGCCATATAAAATCGATTTATTTGAATATATCTACATCTTAAAACAAAAATAATTTTGTATTTCATGATTTGAGTACTTGGTGGAAGAGTTGAGTGTGTTTAAATTTGGAAGTAAATTTGTGCTTGTGTTCCGAAATGCAATGCCATCTGTTGAGTTTGAAATAAACTTAATGTTGAAAAACTAAAATTTCCTTTTGAAAATGTATTGGAATATTTGAATATATTACGTGATCGATATCTCACAGATAAAATAAAATCAGTGTTTAAAGCATATACAATTTACAGAGTTCTACTTAAACAGTGAGTTTTATACGTGTAAATTATAAAAAAAAACTAGGATTTCAAAAATAATAAAATATTTTTAATAGAAATATATACAGGGTTGTTCACCACATACGACACGGAGTATTGTAGGTAAACGATGAGATTTTTACAAATTGTAAGTTTAGGGTTCGTTGAAGGACTATTAGAGCTACAATTTAAAAATATTTTTACAAGATACAGAGTGTCCCAAATAAATAAAAAATATCAAAGTTGTATTTTTTTAAATGGAACACCCTGTATATTATTACATTTTTAGTTTCTACGATTAAAATAAAGGTAAGTTTGATTAAGGTTTATTATACTTAAACCTTACCGTTTTTGAAATATTTTCAATTTTGTGAAATTGCAATAAAAATTTTAAGGCTTCGTTTCTCCAAGGGTATCAATGTTTTTAATACTAAATATTTATTGAAGTTTATTTATTGATCAGTTATTGTGTTGCAATAATAAAAATAATACTACCTTATACAGAGTGTCTAAAAATTTATTTTAAATAATTATTAGCTTCAAACGGCAATAACTTCTTTAATTTAAATGGAATGCCCTGTATATTTTAGGAGAATCAGATGCACAATTAAATTGTCTATCAAATTGTATTATATCATTTTTTACCTATCCCTTCAAGTTTTCGTAGAAAATGCATTTTCTTATAATTTAGAGCTCATTTATCAAATTGTCCATGGAATATTGACATTTTAGATTGTTTTTAAAGCAACAAATGTACAAAATGTACAGACTAGTAATATAATATAAAAAAACTGTTTAAATTAATTGGTCCTCTTTAACAAATATTTAAACAGTTTTTTTTTATTTCTTAATGAAATAAACGAATTATATCGACAATATTAGTATCTGTACTCTTTAAAAATTTGGTACATCTTTAAAAATAATCTAAAATGTCAATAGTCCATGGGTATATTGATAAATAAGTTCTAAATTACAAGAAAATGCATTTTCTACGGAAACTTAAACAGATAGGTAAAAAATAGTATAATATAATTTGATAGACAATTAAATTGTGCATCTGATTCTCGTAAAATATACAGGGTGTTCCATTTAAATTAAACAAGTTATTGCCGTTTAGCTAATAATTATTTAAAATAAATTTTAGACACTCTGTATAAGGTAGTATTATTTTTATTATTGCAACACAATAACTGATCAGTAAATAAACTTCAGTAAATATTTAGTATTAAAAAACTTTGATACCCTTTGGAGAAATGAAGCCTTAAAATTTCTACTGCAATTTCACAAAAAATTGAAAATATTTCAAAAACGGTAAGGTTTAATAAAAATCTTAATCAAATTTACCTTTATTTTAATCGTAGAAACTAAAAATGTAATAATATACAGGGTGTTCCATTTAAAAAAATACAACTTTGATATTTTTTACTTATTTGGGACACTCTGTATTTTGTAAAATTATTTTTAAATTGTACCTCTAATAGTCTTTCATCGAACCCAAAACTTACAATTTGTAAAAATCTCATCGTTTAGCTACAATACTCCGTGTCGTATGTGGTGTATACCCTGTATATTATTACCAATTCGGAATTATAAATATTGTTAATTATTGCAATATTCTGAAATACCGAAATACAAATGTCAAAATGCAAAACAAAACGAGGGAGAAAAAAAAACAGAAAAAAGGTTTTATAAAATCTAAATCTAAACTAGTATTTTTATGGCTATTAAGATAATTTTTTTTTTAATTTCACTCAAAATGAGTTATTTGGGTCAAAAATGACCTAAATACAAAATATTTTCATGGTGTCTGTCTGTCTGCCTGTCTGCCTGTCTGCCTGACCTCCTGTCTGCCTGTCTGCCTGTCTGCCTGCCTGCCTGCCTGCCTGCGGTAGTTGCTAGATATCTGTTCCTTGACTTGTGCGTTGAAGTTCTTCTTAATATTGTTAAACTTTTTTACAATTATGGTGTACTCACTTGCAGAAAAAGTGGAAATAATCGAACTTTATTTTAAAAAGAATGAATATAATGAACGCCATCCTGACAAACACCTTTATGGCAAAATTGTTCGCGAGTTAGTTGCAAAATTTCGCGAAAATGGTTCCGTGACGAATAAAAAGAGGCAGAGGGAAAATCCTGTAGTAAATGAAGCTATGGAAATATTCGTATTGGGCCAAGTTGCCAGGGATAGTACGCTGAGTACAAGAAAATTAGCCAATGAGACCGGTGTGAATCGTACAAGCGTCCAAAGGATATTAAAAAAAAAATTCCACCCCTACAAAATTCATTTGGTACAAGAACTCAACGAAGACGTTTTAAAATAACGTAAAAAAAGTTTATTTTAAGTTAACGATTTGAGAGCAACTACCGCACCTGATCGTTCAAACTTGTGGCAAGTGAAAAAATGCGTAAACATCTAAAAATAATAAGAAAAAACAGCAAATTGGTCGAAGGAATTTACCCTTATCATTTACTCTCATAAATGTTTAAATAAACCTTTCAAATTTCAATCCTTCATATTTTCTCAATGACTGGATCGATTTTCAAAAACGAAGCGGGAAAGTATAGAGAATAGATAGCCCTTTTCATTGCGGCGCCACTTCACCCCCCTTCCCATTTGAAAAAAGTGGGGGATGACACCCCCGCTTAGAGGTTTG